CGGAAATTCATTTCCAGACAGAGCCCCAGTTATTTGTCTTTTCATTTAGCTCACCACTAGATTGTGGCATCACACCAAAAAGTGCAGTTATCCCAAGTGACACATCATCGGGTTTAAGAAACAGCATGACCCGTCTCCCGCGTGCCTCGCATTTCTGCCTTCACTGTCCTGAATTCAGCTCCCATAGGTCCCTGACCCCTGACACCAGCGCTGGTTTGGCTACTATTTTCGTACTTGAGGCACAGGGAGTCACAGGATGTATTCATTTGTATCTGGTTTCTGTACTTTCATAAAATGCTCCTGCTGCAACCGTTAAGCGAGTTTTACATAATCTGGTAAGAAATACGTAAGGAAGAACACGTGGCTAGTTAAACTAAAGAAAGCTAGACGCTTAGGAACGTGTGTCTCTGGAGTGTGACGCACCTCCAAAGACTCTTTAATACCGGGAAGGGATCACTGGTAAATGTGCATGAGTGAAGAGAACGTTTACACACTCTAAACTTTTTGTTGTTTTTGTTGGAGGGGAGGGGAGGGGGTGTGGGGAGGACAAACCCAGTGGTGCTTTCTGTCCCCAACACTATAAATGTTTGTATTGAATTATTTTTAACTTGCTCATGTTTAGATGACTTCTCACTTTTTATTTATTTATTTATTTATTTTAGTGAAGCAAGGTAGTTTTTGTTGAACGAAAGTTGGGTAGGAAGATGTGAAAGGAAAGAGGGGAAAAGTGTTAAAGAGAAAATACAGGCTTCTCCAGGGTGGAAATAAGCGAGCAAAGAAACAAAGACAAACAAGTGAGATATGTGTTCAAGGGAGAAGAAGTGTCCAAGCCTACTTCTTGTATTTTATATTGTGGTCAGACACACTTAAAATTCACTATCATACCATTTTAAAACAGAGTTTGGTTTTATTAAATACATTTGGGGCTGGAGAATTCTATTCCCATCACCCCTTATGGTTCCCTGATCCCCTCCCAGAAGTGATCCCTGGTTACATGGCCAGGAGAAAGCCCTGAGCACAGTCAGATGTTGGCCAAAACCCTAAACAAATAAATAAATAAATAAATAAATGTATGTGTTTGTTATGTAACTTCTACACCCATTCAGCTCCAGGAATCTTTTCATTTTGTAAAACTGAAGCTCTGCAGCCATTAAACAACAATTTCCCACTACCCGTTTTCTGTTGGTCTGGAACGATAGCACAGCAGGTAGGGCATTTGCCTTGCACGCGTTCTGGAGTTTGATTTCTCCTCCATCTCTCTCCGAGAGCCTGGCAAGCTACCGAGAGTATCTTGCCCGCATGGCAGAGCCTGGCAACTTCCCATGGTGTATTCGATATGCCAAAAACAGTAACAAGAAGTCTCACAATGGAGACATTACTGGTGCCTGCTCAAGCAAATCGATGAACAACTGGAGGACAGTGCTACAGTGATACCCCTTTTCTCAGCTCCTGTCAGTTAGCTTTCTACTTTCTCCCACTTGCACTATGGGATACCTCATAGATACCTCATAGATCATACTCATTGAGTTTATTTCACTTAGCTTATGTCCTCAAGACTCACTGAGGTGGTAGCACGTGTCAGAATTTCCTTTCATTTAAATATCAAACTATATCCTGTTCTGTGTATGTGTTATATTTTCTGTTATTTTCATCTGTTGATGCTGTGTCTGAGCTGTAAATATTACTGCTATTTAAACGTTGGTGTATAATTGCTTCCTTAAGGTATTGATTTTAATTCTTTGGGTTATATATAACCAGATATGGGATTGATGAATTTATGGTTTTGTTGGTTTTGTTTGGGGGTCACACCCAGCAGTGCTCAGGGTTTACTCCTGGCTCTGTGCTCAGGGATCTCTCCTGGTGATGTTCAGGAGACCATATGGGGTGTTGGGGGTCCAAATGGGATTGGCCATATGCTAGGGAAGTTCCCTGATCTCTTTAGTCTTCCTCCAATCCCAGGTATTCTAATTTTAATTTATTGGGGAACAGTTTTTTTAAAGTGAATGCACATTTTTTTTCATTTCTAACGACAGCTTATTAGCTCCCAATTCTTCCACACACTCACCAACACAAGCTACTTTCTGAGTTTTTTTCTTCAGAGTAGCTACCCTAATTGGGTATGAGGTGGCATTTCATTATAGTTTTGATTTGTATTTCTCTACTGGTTAGTAATGTTAAATACCTTTCAATTACTTATTGCTTATTGGATGCTTTGTAAATGTATAATCAAGTCTTTTGTTCTCCCCCACACATACACCTTTCTTTTTCTTTTTTGGTCACACCCCAGGCCATTCCTGGTTTGATGCTATGAGACTGGGGTGGGAGTCAAAGCCAGCCCTCCTGCATGCAGAGCGTTTGCCCCAGCCCTTTGAGCCAGCACCCCAGGTCCTTTTGCCATTTTTCTTTCTTTTTTTTTGTTTGAATTTTTTGTTTATTTGTTTAGTAGGTTCCTCTGATATTTGTCTTCACTGTCTTTGCTCAACGTGATATCCTTCAGTTCCATTTAAGCTGCAGCAAATTGCATGGTTTCATCCTTCCTTGAAACATAATTTTTCCACAGTTGATGGTAATGGGGATTGGTCCCAGGTCAGCTGTGTGCAAGGCAACTTCTTTACATGATATACTATTTTCGTCTGAAATAGGGCTGGAGCGATAGCACAGTGGGTAGGGCGTTTGCCTTGCACACGGTGGACCCAGGTTCAACGCTCCCATCCCTCTCGGAGAGCCCAGCAAGCTACCAAGAGTATCCCGCCCGCAAGGCAGAGCCTGGGAAGCTCCCCATGGTGTAGTCGATATGCCAAAAATAGTAGGAAACAAGTAGGGCCAGGAAACAAGTCTCACAATGGAGACATTACTGGTGCCCACTCGAGCAAATCGATGAACAATGGAAGAACAGTGCTACAGTGCAGTGCAGTGTTTTGGGGCCACACCCAGTGATGCTCAGGGGTTATTTCTGGCTCTGCCCACCCGCCTGACCCGCTGGGGAAGCATAAGGGCCAGGAATTCCAGCGGGGGCTGCCACTGACAAAGACAGGCTCATGGGTGCCTCCAGCTCTACTGAGTCAGCAGGGATGGTCGCAACCATTCGGCTGATGCTGAATGGCTCCATCAGGAGAGGCAATGACAGGGCTCAGCACTGTAGCCCAGCGAAGACCGAATTCTCACACTTTCCTCTAGGGATATGTGCTGCCCCCAGTCTGGAGGAATTGTCCAGGTTCACTGCTGAAGTCATTGTTTTTGACTAAGGAATGGCCAGCACCCAGGAGGAGACTTCCCCGCCTCAGGAGGGGTGAGCTGGGTCCGAGAACGCTCATGAAGCAGCTTCAAGAATCTGGACTTGGAATATGAAATCAGTAACAAGACGCTTTTCACTGGGTTTCTCAGAGGCTCTGGCACAGGACAGCTTTCAGTCCTACAAGGAGTTAGTACAGCTGGTTAGCAGGACACAGAGCCCAGCAGGCAGCTGGTATTGAAAGCTGTGGTCTCTCTCCTAGGAGATAGGAGTGAATCATCAGAGTCACAGCCTGGGGATCCAGAGAGAGTTCAAAGCCGACCTCATGTAGGAGCCCTGGCTTAGACACCTGCCTCCACACGGAGCACCCCAGCATCACTGGCAGAACTGCCCCCTCCAGAAAAAGAACCCACAAAACATCAGCCCCTGCAGTAAACCCTTTGTTCACAGTCCTTTGGTTTTCAAAGTGCCTGCCAGGAAAGGCAGTTCCATCTGTCACCAGTGTCACCCATTGTCTAAATGTTGGCATAATGGAACTGCTGGACAGGTTTGGCTCTTCTGCTTTAGGACATAACTTTTATGCCATAACTTTTTTTCTGGGGCCCACACATGGCAGTCTTGAGGAACCATGGAGTGCCAGGAATCAAACCCTTGGCTCCTGTGTGCAAAGCATGTGCTCCAGTTCTTTGACCCATCTTGCCAGCCCCTTAGCTTTTACAATTTTTCTTCTGCTTTTGGGGTCACACCCAGCAATGCACAGGGGTTACTCCTGACTCTGCACTCAGGAATCACTCCTGGCGCTGCTCAGGGGACCATATGGGATGCTGGGAATCGAACCCGGGTCAGCTGCGTGCAAGGCAAATGTCCTACCCGCTGTGCTATCACTCCAGCCCTGGCTTTTACAATTTTTATAGTGGCCATACCCAGTGATGCTGGGGGAGTCAAGTGAGTGGGTATAATACTGGTGGGTCCTGATGGGGGTCTACAGGGAGTCACTCCAAGGGATATTTGGCCTGAAGTGTGGGGCCAATGGTTCTGTGCCCTGGGCCCAAACAGTGGTGCCTGGGATCCAGTGGTCCTCACAGGTCTGAGTCAAGGCCTCAGCATGGTGGCACATGCATGCACTACAACTTTTAGTCTCTCCCTAGCTCTTATTTCCTGGAGAACTCTCCAGATCCCTCCATCAGAAGGACCATGTTCCTGCTTTTGCTTTCCTCTCCAGACCTGATATCACATTGACAGAATTTCCCAGAATGTATACATGACCAACCCAAGTTCAATTCCTCCATCCCTCTTGGAGAGTCCGAGAAGCTACCAAGAGTATCTCACCCGCACGGCAAAGCCTGGCAAGCTACCCGTGACATATTTGATATGCCAAACACAGTAACAATTGTCACAATGGAGACATTACTGGGCCCGCTCGAGCAAATCGATGAACAATGGAAGGACAGTGACAGTGACAGTATTACATCCTAAAACACAGAGCATAAACATCTATTTGTAGAAGCAAATTCATAAAGTGCTTCTAATAGTATTCAGGTAGCCAAAGGTGATAACAACCTGAGTTGCTGACCTGACAGATGGCTCACAGAAGGTGGCACATCCCTGCCAAGGACTATAAGCCACAGACAGGCATGAATTGCAGCCCTGTGACATAGAGAGCTATTTCAGGTCACGGTGGGAGTCCAGGATACAGCTTCAAGGTCCAGGCTGTTCCAGCAGTCACACAGTGATGCAGGAATCACCAAAACAGCATTTCTCAGGACCACAGGACCACACATGCTAGCTGTTGCCATGTAGCAGTACTGATACATGCTATGATGAAGATCTCTTAAGTACGGTAAGTGAAAGTAATTCGTCACAAAGACCTGATCATATATGATTAATTTATATGACATGTCCAGAATAAACAAATTTATAGGACAGACAAGGAGACACTGTTTGCCAGGAGTCATGGGAAAGAAGAAACTGGGAGTAGCAGCTAGAAAGAAAATAGGATATTACCTTTGAGGTGATATAAATATTCTAAAATTTAAGGGCTAGGGAGGTGGCTCAATGGGATGGAGCACATGTTCTTCATGTGGGAAGTCTGGGTTAGAAATCAAGCACCTCATGGTGCCCTAGCACTGCAGGGAGTGATTTCTGAGCACTACACCCTGAGCACTAACAGGATGACCCTCATAATAATAGTGGCCATGGAAAGGCTTAAAGGATTGGAGCATGTGCTTTGCATGCTGTAGTCCCAGGTTCCTTCCCAGGTACCATATGGTTCTCCAAACACCACCAGGAGTAATCTCCTAAGCACCAAGCCTCTGAGTTTCGCTGGGGATGGTTAAAAAAAAAAAAAGACCAAAACAAAGTACTGTTGAACCCAAGAACAGCTCTGTGGCAGAGTGTCTGCCTGGCCCAAAATTTAATCCTAGTATCACCCACATATCACCCACCCCATAGCACTGCCGTTAGCATTTCTCGACATGGCACCCAAGTGTTGGAGCACCACACCCAGATGTGTGCTACCTCTGGTCATCGCAATAGCAACAACAGAGGTGTGTTAAATGATGATATGACTTAATGTAACGTCAAAAATCAACAAGAGGGGCTGGGGCGATAGCACAGCAGGTAGGGCTTTTGCCTTGCACGCGGTTGACCTGAGTTCAATTGCCAGCATCCCATATGGTCCCCTGAGCACCACCAGGAATGATTCCTGAGTGCAGAGCCAGGAGTGACCCCTGAGCATCGCCAGGTGTGACCCAAGAAGCAAAAAAAAAAAAAATCAACAAGAGTTTAAGCTGATGTTGGTGCGTAAGTTTCACTAATTCCATTTATTACATTTTATAAGTATCAAACTATTTTAAAAGGAAAATCCCCATGTTTCAGCACCTTTAACTGCACTTCCCACTCCCATGCTATTTTCCTTTTGTCTTACGTCCCACAGATGATCTAACACCAGTTCTGTAATCCTCACCATCATGCTCTGTATGTAGCGCACAGGCATGGAAGGGATCTCCTAGTGGCAGTGATGGGGATGAGCTGGCATTGCAGTGTTTCTTAGCCTGAAATCCTCAGCAGTCAGGCACAGCAGTGGCTAATGGGGTAGTTGAGGGCTTAAACCATCATGGCCATTGTCTCAGCTCTGAGACAAAGTGCTTCAACAAGATGCCAGGTAGTGTGGCCCACTTAGAGTGTGCCAGCAGTGGAAATCTGTCTCTTCTGCTAGCAGGGCCTCTCTTTCCCCAGGATCTGCCTATCTTCTCCATCTATGTCCAGTTTTTCTCCTCTTGACTCTAGTCATTCTGGTTTTCGGTCTACCTGAGGACTTCATTCTTACTTGGTCACCTCTGCAAAGGCGCTTCAAATGAACTCACATTCCCATCTACTGGAAATTGGAATAGCGACATACGAATGAGAGGAGGACATATTTGGGCCTATGGAATTAAAGAATAGCTGTCACTGTCACTGTCCTCCCGTTGTTCATCGATTTGCTCGAGCGGGCCCAGTAATGTCTCCATTGGAGACTTTGTTGTTACTGTGTTTGGCATATCGAATACGTCACGGGGAGCTTGCCAGGCTTTGCTGTGCGGGCGAGATACTCTCAGTAGCTTGCCAGGCTCTCCGAGAGGGGCGGAGGAATCGATCTCAGGTCGGCCATGTTGGCTGCGTGCAAGGCAAACGCCCTACCGCTGTGCTATCGCTCCAGCCCTAAAGAATAGCAATGACATAAATCTTATGCTCTAAGATATCTTTAAAGAAATTAAAACCAGAACACACACACACACACACACACACACACTAAATTGGGCTCAGGATCAGCCTAAGGTGGTCACAGGTGTGATTCTCAGTATTGCCTTCCCACCCCTGGGTGTTAGCTGATAACACTGTCTTTTTGGAGCCCAGGAACCACAACAAAGTCTGAACTCTCAGCACATAGCAACCAAGTGTGTGTAAGCTCGTCATCACATTACAACAAAAAGAGAAGGAAAGGGGAAAATATCTTCTTTTTAAAAAGAAACTAGTTGCCGTGTACAAAACCTACACCCTCAGCATAAACAAAGACAAAATGCCCAACTTCATATTTCCAGTAAATTGGGCTAGAGAGATAGTATGTGAGTTAAGGTGTTTCCCTCACATGTGGCCAGTCCCAGTTAGATCTCTGGCACCCCATGTGATCCTCTGAGCCCTCCAGGAGTGATACCTGGTGCAGAGCTAGAAGTAAGTCCTAAGCACTGCCAGATGTGACCCTCCCCACAAAAAAATTTCCAAAACATTAAATAGCTAGGAATCATCTTAACAAAAGATGTGGAAGACATTAAAATATTTCAAAGACATTAAAAGATGTAAAAAAGCATTAAAAATGGCATTAAAAACTTCTATTTATGCTATTGGTATAAATAAGAAGAGGACACCAGGAAATGTGAAAGTATTCCATGTTCATGGGTTGAAAGAGTTTTTTTGGGGGGGGGTTTGGAAGAATTAACACAGGAAAAATGATCATTCTACTTAAAACATTATTCAGATTCAGTATAACTCTCCTCAAATTTCCGATGTCATTTTAAGGACATAGAAATTCTACTAAATTCATTAAAAATGCTACTAAATTTTTTTCCTTAAATTTTTATTAGTGAAACACCATGAGGTACAGTTGTAGACTTACAAATTTTTGTGCTTGGGCTTTAGTTATACAATGATCGAATACCCATCCCTCCACCAGTGCCCATTCTCCACCACCACCAGTCCCAGTATCCCTCCCACCCCCTTCCCCCCATCCCACCCTACTACTGTGGCAGGGCATTCCCCTCCATTATCTCTCTCCTTTTGAGCGCTGTGGTTTGCAAGAGACATTGAGTGGCAGTCTTGTTTGGACTATAATCTACTCTCAACACGCAAAAAAATGCTACTAAATTTTGTATGAAATCATACTGTTCGGGTCCGCGATTTGAACACAAGACACCCATAAGGAGTTAAAAGATTTTATTAAAGAGATTTGTTGGAGAGAGGGGAGGGAGGGAGGGAGGGAGAAAGAGAGCGAGAGAGAGCGAGAGAGAGAGAGAGAGAGAGAGAGAGAGAGAGAGAGAGAGAAGAGAGAGGGAGAGAGAGAGAGAGTTGTTACAGGCTGACCAGCCAGAGCCGCACCCCATAGAGAAATGGTCAGGGTACGACCCTCACCAACTGTGGGGAAAGGTTTAAGTACCCTAAAACCACATGGTTCTTTCTCCCTAACTCACCTGTAAACTGATTGATCAGTGTCACCTGTGGGTGTCACTTTGTTCTATTCTTTCCATACCTTACCGACCACTGGGCTGAAGCGATTAGCACAGCAGGTAGGGCATTTGCCTTGCACGCAGCCAACATGGCCGACCCAAGTTCGATTCCTCCGCCCCTCTCGGAGAGCCCGGCAAGATACCGAGAGTATCTCACCCGCATGGAAAAGCCTGGCAAGCTACCCGTGATGTATTCGATATGCCAAACACAGTAACAAGTCTCACGATGGAGACGTTACTGGGCCCGCTCGAGAAAATCGATGAACAATGGGAGAACCGTGACGGACCACTAGATTCCTTCTTTTTACTGATTGGCTGGTACTCTCTGCAAGCATTGTAAATTTTGTTTGTTCTGTTCCCCTTCCCAAGGTGTGGTCTTGGGTTCTGCTCAGTTCAGCTATCAGTAACACAATCACACAGAATAGCAAAATGGCTACTAATAACTAAAATGACTGCACTTTGGTTCATACTGAATATGGCTGTACTTTGGTTCTAACAATGCAACCTTATGCGGAGCTAAACCTATTCTAAGAAAAAAAAGTAGGTATATAATTTCCTGACTTTAAATTATACTATAAAGCCTTAATAATCAAAACAGTGTGGTGCTGGAATAAAGATAGATTCTCAGACCAGTGGAATAGAATTGGGAGTGCAAAGATAAACTCATAGAACTATGGGCAGTTAGTCTATAACAGTGTAACTGTATACATGAAGTGGAGCAAGGAAAGCCTCTTCAACAAATTGTGTTGGGAAACCTGGACAGCCATATGCAAAAAAGAAGGGAGAAGAAACTGAGTTCATATTTCACATCATTCACAATTTAAAGTGCATTAAAGATCTTTAATTTAGACCCAAATCCATAACTTAGATCTGAATCTATAAAACACATTTAGGTAAGCATAGGCAGAACTTTCAAGGATAAGGGTTTCAGGGGTATTTTCAAGTATTAACTCCATTTGCAAAGATAACAAAAATTAAAATGAACAAATGGGACCCATTAAATTAAAACATTCTTACATGGCAAAAAAAACCCCCTCAGGTTAAAATATAGACATCCCACTTAATGGCAGAAATATTTTCACGCTATATATCAGATAAAGGGCTAATAGCCAAGATACATAGACCTCTCAAAAACTCAGCCACACAGTGGTTGGAAGCTTGCCTGTGGCAAGTGTGTGGGGTGAAGGGCTGTTAGGATAGAGAAGGGATCAGTATGACAATAATAGTTAGAAATTATCAGGCTGGAGTGATAGTACAGCAGGTAAGGTGTATGACTTGCTTGCGACCAACCTGGGTTCAATCCCTGATATCCCATATGGTCTCCTGAGCATCACCAGGAGTAATTACTGAGTGCAGAGCCAGGAGTAACTCCTAAGCATCGCCAAGTGTGACCAAAAAGGAAAAAAATCACTCTGATCACAAGAACTAAATGTTGAAGGTAGGTAAAGGAATACACCTGATAACCTTTCAATATATGTATTGAAAACCGTAATCCTCAAAAGGAAAGAGAGAGAGAGGCAGGGGAGAAGAAAAGTGCCTGCCATAGACGCAGGTGGGGGTGGGTGGGAGGGAAACTGGGGACATTGATAGTGGGAAATGTATCCTGGTAAAGGGACAGGTGTTGGAACATTATGTGAATGAAACCCAGTCATGAACAACTTTGTTACTGTGTATCTCACTGAGATCCAGTTTTTTAAAAAAATTAAAACAAAAACCCCTCAGCATCAAACATCTAATAAACTCATCAAAAAATGGGGAGAGGAGATAAGCAGATACTTCTCTGAAGATGACATGTGGATTACCAGTGGACATATGAAACATGTTTATTGTCCCTGATTACCAGAGAAATGAAAATCAAAACAACAATGAGAAAACATCTCACAGCTGTGAGAATGGAAAATATAAAAAAGACCGGAAACATTGGGGCCAGAGCAATAGTACAACAGGTAGGGTGTTTGCTGTGCACACAGCTGACCCAGATTTGACCCCCAGCATCCCATATGATCCCCTGAGCACTCCAAGAGTAATTTCTGAGTGCAGAGCCAGGAGTAATCCCTAAGCATCTCAGGCTGTGCTCCCCATCCTCTCTCCCTCCCCCATATGGGAAACAACCAGTGTTGGCTGTGATGTGATGGAAAATGAACCATCGTTCACTGCTGGTGGAAATGCTCTCTGGCTCAATCTCTATGAAAATGGTATGAAGATTTCTCACAAAAGAAAGAACAGAGCTTTCTTATGACCCAGAAATTCCAACAATGCTTCTTGGCATCTGTCCCTCACAAATGAAAATATCAATTCAGAAAGACATATGTGCAGTTATGTTCACTGCAGCACTTAGTACGGTAACCAGGATATGCAAACAACCCAGATATTCGAGGGCAGATGAATGGACAAAGAAACTATGATAAATATGCACAATGGAATACTTTGCAGCTAAATGATTAGATACTTCCATCCTCCAGTTTGTTGCAATATGGATGGAATTGGAGGGTATCAAGTGAATCAAATCAGAGTGTAAATGACAGGTACTGGATGACTCACTCATCTGGAATATAAGAAACAAAACAAGGGAATAGACAATATTTCATGACAAGTCCTCAGACCTGGGTCATGGAACTGAGAATACCCAACAAACAGGGGGGTAGTGAGGTGAAGAAGAGGTCAATTGGAAGTAACATAAGGACAGAGGTGGAGGGTCTTGGGCACTTTGGTGGGAGTGAGGTGCAGTAACTGTACACGGTTCAGTTCAAAGCAGAAATGCTAACAATATTACATGTAAGCTAAACCATTAATTGAGAAAAAAGATGGATGAGTCAGGAGAGGATCCCAGGAAAGGCGAGCTGGGGATTGAGCACAATAAGAAAGGTCAGGCAGGTTGGGGAACTCAGCCCAGGGCGGCCAGGCTCAGAGCAGAAAGGGCCTTATGCCTGTCTCAGTAGTGGTCTGATGTTGGAGGTCTCCCTGGCACAACCTTTTGTCCACTAGAGGTCGCTGGGCCTGTAGGGAGTACCCCAGCTGCTGACTTCTCTTGGGAGCCAAGCTGTTGCCAGGTAAACATTCTCTAAATATAACATAGATTAATTGGCCTTGATTGCTGGTGGCCCAATGGTTTGATACATGGGAAACAGACATCTTTGGGTGGTCAGCAATATTTCAACCTTTCCTCTGCCTTGGAGCATCAAGGACAGTGCTCTAGCAGGTTCTTCTTAGTCGTAGCAATACCCTGCCTCCCTCTGCCACCTGCTCATTAGTCCACATGGGCATTCTCCCTCAGGCTCTGTTTAACCATCGCCTTTCCTAATAAACTTTGTCATATGTCTATGGCCTGTGTGGGTGGCTCAGTCTTGGCTAGGCTGTGCACACGCGTCTTTGAGCATCCGCTGCCTACACTGATGGACCTGGTCCTTGTTCCCAGAGTCCCCACAGTCTGATCACAGTACCATAGGTCCCCACAGCCCCAATGGGCAGTGTTGAAGAAAGGAATCTCCATGGAAATATGGATACTGGACAACCTCACTCATTGTTATGGAGAGGAACAAAACATGACAAATTTGCCCTTGGATTACAGAATTGATCAACCAACAGTGGGAGGATCCCTGAGGGATAAAGATGATAACACAGGTGACACCAGAACACTTGGGGGAGGGTCCTGGGCACTTTAGGGGGTGTGCACAGTATCTCTATCAAGACCATAAGCTCTAACAGTGCTACACCCATATGGCCTAAATCTGCAAGAGAAAGAAATTGACCTCCAAGTGTCTGAGAGGCCCAGAAGATCCCCAGACTCCTTGGGGCCCTGAAGGGAATGTGGGTGAAGTGGACTCCAAATAGGAGGCAGTCATGTAAGGTTGTGGGGGCAGCAAGGTGTGACCCTCCCACTAGGTAGTGATGCCATCTGGAGAATGCTATGTGAGGGAGGGGAGGGAAAAAATGGAGGGAGAGTCTGAGGAGGCAGAGGGCTCGGAGAGGTTGGCAGGGACCCCTGTCTCCTGGTCTTGGTGAGGTTCCTTCCCTGCGTGCCTAGGGATGCACAGGGCCCCACCGTGCTCTCCCTCCTCAGGCCTGTGAATCTGCCCACAGGAACAAAGGCTCTGGGTCTCTGATCTCTTCCCTCTAGTGGATGAAAAATTCTCTCCGAGGAGTAATTCAACCAGAGAGGGTAGAAGTGAGAGTGTCTGGTTTCCACTGAATCTTGGGGATCCCCCTTCCACAGTCCCTCCCACTCTTCTTCCAGGAACTCAGTTCCTCTCCCCAGGTTTAGGGGTGCCACTGGCATTGGCAGGACCTCCACCGCCATAACAAGTCTCAGTTTCCCCAGCTCTAGGATGAACAGGCTGGACCCGGAAATGCTCGGTGTTTTCTGGAACACAGGGCCTGTAGTTTCCTTGAACGCAGCACTTGGTGACTTTGACGTCAACTTCAAACACAGCCTCCTTTCCTGTCTTTGCAGCAAGGAAATAAGTTGAGGTTCAGAGAAATCCGCTGCCGAGAGCACTCAGGCCTTCCAGCTCCGCTCCATCCCCAGCCTCTGTGTCAGCGCTGCCACCACCACCACTGAGTGTCCAGGTGAGTGGCATCCACTAGCCCCTTGGATACCACCACAGGGGCACTAGGCAGCTGGCAGTGGTCTAACGCAATTCTGCCCAGTGAGAAACCCTGGGCATGGTGTGGGCGGGAAGTAGCCGGCAGTGAGCTCTGGGTGGGGACTCTGTTGGTTTCTTGTCCCCCAAGTTGTGGGGGGCTTTATTCAGTGAAAGTTGGAGATCCTCCAGCTTTGTGCTCAGGGGTGACCCTTGGGCGGGTCTCAGAGGACTGTGTGGAGCCGAGGACCCCAGGGTTGGCTGCATGAAAGGCAAGTGCCTCACCCTTGCTCTAGCTCTGACCCCTCTTAGGTCTTCTTCAGAGAAGTAGCTGTGAATGGTGGTCAGTAGAGGAGAGCTTGCAGGAGACTGGCTGGCCCCATGCCCAGACCCCCGGTCAGTGGATCTGGAGGGAGTGGCTCTGGACAACGTCTTGAGGGTGGAGGACACATTTGGGAGTCCACTGGGGAGAAGCAGGGGAGGCCAGTGTCTACTGGAGAAGGAAGCAACTGAGCTGAGTGGTCATGCCCCAGGAACACAGGCATACCTGCTCACTCTCCACCTCCTGTTGGACCCCCTCAGGGAGGTGCCCTGGGCTCCAGGAAGTGGAGAAACATGTGCTTTGGCCACCAAGGCCCAGATCCAAGGGCTGTGAACAGGAAAAAATAGAGGGTAAACCTGAACAACAAAATGTCACCAGGGGTGGTTCTTACAGGAGAGCTCCGGTGAAGTGGGGATAGTGAGGAGAGGTGAAGGAGTGATGGCCGCAAATCCTACCCAATCACTGTGTGCTCTTGGCAAGTTGCGTGGCCTCTCTGGGTTTCAGTATGCATCTCTTAAATGTAGATGCAAATCTTGGTGCCGAGCAGGTGTTTGACCACTTGGTGGGAAAGAACAGTTTTGTGTGAGGTGCAGTTTGACAAGTGGTCTCATCAGGGTCACGGGGTTGCTTTTGTCCTTGGCTGCCCTACATTACAGCCTCTCTCTGTGGCCCTGGAAGGAACACCCAGGGCAGATGGCCTGGAGGACTGTGTCCTGGAGCCAGACAGCCTAGACCGGGTCCCAACTCTGTCACTTCCCTGTGTGTGGGACTGTGGCAAGTCTCTCCACCTCTGCACTGCAGGCCTTCCATGGTCTTGAGCTTGATTGTAGTATAGGCTGGGGTGGTCTCACATGCGGGACCCCAGAGATTCTCAGGCACTGTTTGTAGTCACATCATGTGATTTCTGGCCAGAGCTAATTTGCCCCCAGCAGCTGCTCCAGAGTATCCAGAACCATTTTTGCTCATAACTGATGTATGACTGGTGTTTCGTGGACATGGGCCAGAAGGCAGCGAACACCACCCCCCATGTCCAACATGGAACCAGCCAAACATCCCATATCTGTGAGACTCTGACCTCAGCCTTTTCCTCCCCTCAGGCTCTCACTGGTTTCCTGGTGCAATGTGAGTCTGACACCAGGGAGGGGAAACTCCTTGCTGAGGGGCACAGGCCAGTCTTCAGTCAGCGGGCAGAGGTGTGTCCCCTGGCATCCCACACTTACAACCCTGACTGTCCAAGAACAGGGACTCTAGAGTCAGCTGGGGACAGGTGGGCCATGGGAACTCTGACCTCGGAGTCCAGTCCCCTGATGGACTCACCTGGGTGTGAACAAATAGCTGCAGACCCAGAGACCCGGTTCAGCCCTGATGGCCACTGCAGGCTACAGTCTGGGTCCCGCATCTCCCAAGGCAAGGCTGCCCCCAAGCCTTGACTGAGGTGGTCTCTAGATGGAGTGGGCAGTTCTCGTGTGAGGCCCAGCAAAATCTCCACCATGAGGACCGTGGCAGCCACACTGTTGTCAGACAGGCTTCCAAGAGGTGCCCTACAGGCTGACTGTATGTGGGACTTTCTGAGAAGGGCTGTGTTGGGGGGCCGTGTCCCTGAGTGTGTGTGGCTGCGACTGATTGCATATGTAGCACAGACGTCGAATTCCAGTGGCGGGTCCATGGTACGAACATGCTGATACAGTGCGTGGCTCACCCTGATCATGTGGGCCAGGAGATGGACCGTCAGGTGGGCCAACAGGGAACAGTGGGTCCCTGAAGCCCTGGGGACAAGCGTGTGAATCCACAGGAGTCTGGGTGGCTGGCAAGCCCAGGAGGACAGACTACCAAATGGCAGAGCCTAGAGAGCCTTATCCCAGGGTCTTTCACATCCTCTGTGTCCCCCAAACCTTTGCAAGCCCATTCCCATGTGGGGTGCAGTGAGCTTCTTGCTGCCCTGGACCACACTATGCCATGTGGAAGATACATGATTCTGTGTCCTATGCCAGGAGGAGAAAGAAGAGGTTGCCGGGGACCATGTATGGTGTAATGCCAACTGTGCTTGCCGTGACTTGCCATGTTGGCTGACAAACACTTGTGTTTCTTCTGTTAAAGGCCCAGGGGTTCCAAGGGCAGGAAAGGTGGTTTGGGGGTTCTTGGAATCTCGGGTAGTGAACTGGGTATGCTTCGGGGTTGTTGCTGATATGGGGTCTTCAGGCCTGCTTCCATCTTGGCCCACTCCTGCCAGGGCTTCTGGATCAACTCCTCTCTCTGCCTAATGCCTCTGTCTCCTCTGTGGACCCTGATGCTGAACGTGTTCTGTGAAACAGCAATACCTCAGCTAAGAAGACCCCCTAGCCAGACCTCTTGGGCCTCAGCAGCCACTGAGATACTTTTCATAGCTTCTGAGAATCTACTAGCTCACCTCACCTTTCTTTCTTTGAGGAATGTTGGGGCTATCAGGTCCGTGTGAACAGACATGCTTGAGCCCTGCTTTCCCTCAGAGTTGTTTGAGGGCCGGTCAGTGGTAGAGCACATGCTTTGCACGTGAAGCCTGGGTATGATCCCCACTCCCTACCTTCACCCCCCATACACACACAAATTTAAAGAAGACTGTGAAGGGAGCAACTAGTTCAGGGTCAAAGGCTGGCTTCACCTACGGTCCTGGTGCCTCCCCAGATTCACAGAGGCAAGGTCACAGTAGGGTTCTGGAGCTCACAAGGAGCTCACAAATCCAAGGGCAGGGTGGGGTTCCTGGCCAGGAGCAGGTATAGCAACACACCACTCACTCTTCCTCTTTCCACACTGGTCGTCCCCCTCCACCCCCCAACTCCGCCCCAGCTGTGGTTACTGTTGTGCCACCACCAGGAGAGGCAGGAAGTTGGGAGAGGCAAGAAGGCACAGACAAAGACCCAGGGCCTCTGGCAGCCAGGGACCCTGTGCAAAATGGCTAGTTGTGGCTTCTGGCCTTCACAGAGTCCCCTGCACCCCACATTTGCACCCGCGCACTCATGGCTACCCAGGCTGCACCTGTGGCCGCTGCAGGAGGAGCCTATCAAACCCAGCCTCTAGCAGTTTCCTACCACAGCTTCCTGCCCTGCACCCCAGGTCTCGGACCAGCCCCACCTCATCCTGGGTCCAGACCCCCCGCCTGCGGGAGGCAGGGCTGGGGGCCCTGGAGGCTGGGGGAACCTGGGGAGGAGAGGAGAGGAGGCACCTGGTGGGCAGGATGGGGTGGCGGGCACTATGGGACCACACGGACCTGAAGGAGGCCTTAGAACTGCTGCAGCTCAGGTCAGATGGATGGAGACTGAGGTGGGGATGAAAGGAGGTGACAACAGCGCACATGGGCCCCAGGACAGCTGTAGACTAGACTGGCGAGTGTGGCTGACTGCAGCCAGCAGGATAGCCCATGGAAGAAGCTGGAGCTGGGGAAGAGAGTCCAGCAATGATCCAAGGGGTCAGGCAAGGGGGTATCCATCACTCAAGGGACAGCACTGAGGGGGCACCAAATGTAGCTATTTTTAAAGTGGTCCCCCGTATGTGTGGGGTGGGCCCAGGTGGTGCTCAGTGGACCCAGGACTGCACCTACAATGCTCCAGGTCATTGTATAATCTGTGTGAACGTGAGCTTCCTTTTCTCCAGTTGACCTCTGGACCACCTAAACACTCCGATGAGACCAAGATGCAGACGGCTCCTGGGTCTCTCTTTCTTTTCTTTTCTTTTCTTTCTTTCTTTTTTTTGCTTTTTGGGTCTCACCCAGTGCTGCTCAGGGATTACTCCTGGATCTTCACTCAGGAATTACTCCTGGCGATGCTGGGGGATCATATGGGATGCTGGGGATTGAACCTGGGTTGGCCGCGTGCAAGGCAACCACCCTACCCGCTGTGCTATGACGCTCTGGCCCCCCCTCTCTCTTTTTTTTATAGAGCTAGAGAAATTTTGACCCTATGTAACACACAAAATGCTATAATCTTATGTAATATTTTATCTAGCTAGTAGACGTTACCCCTATCCACCCCCCACCCTCCACCCCCAAAATTCAGGGCAACCAGTCTGAGGTTGTCTCTCTCATCTGATTCCTATTTACCTAAATGTCTTCAAACCCCTTCTGGGCCAAGGGGCAGATGTCCCAGTCTCACCTTTTCTGTCTTAATGGCTATAGCAGTGCTTCAGCCAATCCCCCATTGATGGATATTCAGATTATTTAGCACGATGTAGAAACTTGACCAGAAAGGCCGGACAATGGGAAATTTCCTTTTTTCTTTCTTTTCACTTTTTGGGTTACACCCTGAGGTGCTCAGGAGTTGCTCCCTATTCTGTATTCAGGAGATGTTTCTTGTAGTCCTGGGGGAAAGAAGGGGTGAGGACCATGAGGTGCTGGCTATTGGACTTGGGTTTTCTGCATGCAAACAATGTGCTCATCCAGTGGAACTGTCCCACCATGCAGGAGAATCTATAAGGCAGAAGGCGAAGGTCAGTGGAAAGGAAGCAGGCGGGCTGAGCAAAGCTTGCTCCAGCTCCAGGGCATCCATACCTGTCCATCACAGGTATAGATGGAAAGGTCCGCCCCCAGCTCCTCACCTCAGTGTCCACTCCCCTCCTTAAGGTTGGACACCCCGCTCCATTGTCCTCTTTTCTCTCAGCCTCTCTTTGTCTAACAGTCACCTCACAGGGTGTTTATTATTATTTTTTCACCCCCCCTCCCTTCCCTGTGTTGCTGTCATGATGGCCGGGACGGTCCTCAGAGGGGCCACACACTTTAGTGTGTCCACACATGAGCTGTGTGTGGGGCGACACCATGTACTCTGGTGCTCACCTCAGCGTTGGGCTCGGAGGGTCCTTAACACAGGTGGGGTCCACACTGGGGGCCAGTGGGCAGGGCAGGGCACACAAATCTGTTGCTTCAATGGGCAAGGTCATCGTGTCTTTGAGTATCTTTGCCTTAGAGCTCTCTGAGGGACCTTGGGACGATTTTCCCATCTCCTGCGGAGTGACGATCCTCTCATCTCTTGCTGAGGGCACCTCCTCCCGTCCCACCTGTCTCTACAGGAGACAGAGCAAGCATCTGTCTAACGGTGTTCAGGCACCAGCCTGAACCACAGGCAAACCCGTGTTTGGGAAACCAAAAAGGTGGTTCCAGGGGCAGGGGTGTGGGCGGAAGGTGTGTCTAGGTGCTCCACACAGTGCTACAGCCAAGTCAGAGCAGTAGCCCTGTGTGGGACTCCCGGTCCGAGTCCCAGCAAGATCCAAACTCAGCAGGCCAGGCCTCATCTCCAGGCCCTACTGCCGCAAAGTGCACCATCCACAGGACGCTTGGCTTGCTCGGCGCCACGTCCCCGGGCGCCCAGCCCTGCAGGCTGAGTCCCACTAACTCCAAGTCTCGAGCATTAGGGGGTCAAGAACCGAGGCCGGGGTCCTGATGAAGCCCTCGACTGACCGTCTCTCCGCCCCCGCAGGGCGCGGCGAGCCAGGGCGATGCCGGACCCCGCGGCGCATCTGCCCTTCTTCTACGGCAGCATCTCGCGCGCCGAGGCCGAGGACCATCTGAAGCTGGCGGGCATGGCCGACGGGCTCTTCCTGCTGCGCCAGTGCCTGCGCTCGCTCGGCGGCTACGTGCTCTCGCTGGTGCACGACGTGCGCTTCCACCACTTCTCCATCGAGCGGCAGCTCAACGGCACCTATGCCATCGCCGGCGGGAAGGCGCACTGCGGCCCTGCCGAGCTCTGCGAGTTCTACTCGCGCGACCCCGACGGGCTGCCCTGCAACCTGCGCAAGCCGTGCAACCGGCCGCCGGGGCTCGAGCCGCAGCCCGGGGTCTTCGACAGCCTGCGCGAAACCATGGTGCGCGACTACGTGCGCCAGACGTGGAAGCTGGAGGTGAGGTCGCGGCCCCTGGCGCGGAGCCGCGGGAGTCCGGTTTGGAAGACGGATTCGAGGGGTCGGGAGCCCGGGAGGAGAGGAGTCCTCCAGGGCTGGGCCTGAGCGATGCCCAGGGAAAGTACGCGGGCCGAGGGAACGTGGAGGAGCGCGCCCGACCCGGAGGGGTCGAAGCGGGGGGGACTGGGGGTCTCTGTCCTCCACGCGACACTGCTCGGCTCCCACACAGCCGCCAATTGCATGTGAACTTGGCACTGGCTGGAAGGCGGGGCTGGGAGTGCGGTGCCCTGGCGGGAGGAGCCTGGGAGATGGGGTTGGGAGGAGGCCGCCCCTCTGTAGCGTGGATGGGGTGGCCCGGGTTCAATCCTGGCATCCCAGATGGTCTCCCGAGCACTGCCAGGAGTAATTCGCGCGCATCTGCGCGCATCTGGCGACACGTGCTGGCGCCCGGCATTGACGCCCCCTTCCCTAGGGCGATGCTCTGGAGCAGGCCATCATCAGCCAGGCCCCGCAGGTGGAGAAGCTAATCGCCACCACCGCGCACGAGCGCATGCCCTGGTACCACAGCAGCCTGACGCGCGAGGAGGCCGAGCGCAAACTCTACTCGGGCTCGCAGACCGACGGCAAGTTCCTGTAGGTGGGGCTGGGGGGAGGCTGGGGCATTGGGGCTGTCCTGGAGGCGGGGTGCGCACCTGACTTATTGCGCAGGTGCCCCCCGGAAGGCGTGTGTGTGTGTGTGTGTGTGTGTGTGTGGCCCATGCGTGAGAGGATCCTGCGCCTGGGAGCGAGCAGAGAGACCAGGGAAGGGAGCTGCAGGGGTTACCACAGCAGTGCTGAAATGTCAGGGCTGGTCCTACCTGCCGTGGACCCTCGGCGAGTGGCGGGACTACTCTGCCATGACTTCGTCATGCCAGGAGTGATGACCGTGCCCCTCCTATGGGCCCTGCCTCAGCTACACTGAGGATGTGGCAGGGACTGCCACAGTGTGTCAGGTGTCAGGTGTGTGTGGAGGGAAGGAGCTGTTGCCTATTCAGATTGGAGAGTGTGTGGGGGAATGTGTCTGTATATGTGTGTGTGTGTGTGGTGGCAGGGGACACTCAACTGTGCTGAGCTGTGCTGAAGGATGTTGTCTTGGACCTGGAGAATTGAAAAGACAGAGACCAGGAAGCAGGCAGGTTCTGGGTCTTCTCAAGAAAAGGCCAGGAAGTCCAAGTGCTTTATCTGAGGAAGTGGCAGAGGAAGTGAAGGCAGAGAGGTGTCAGGAACTTTCACCCTGAGAGCTGCAGGAGCACTAGGCAGTGTGGCCGCAGCTCCCTCTAGCCTGGACTATTGTCTTATCAAAGCCACAGTTGGCTTTAAAGGATTATGTGTATCGTGTTCAAAGCAAGCCTAAAAAGGCTCTCTCTGTGCGTGGCTGTCCCTGTTGCTCTGGTCTTAGTCATTGCTGATCTCTGTGTCTGTGTTTGCTCTCCAAAGCTACTGAAAAACCCCACTAGGGCTCTGCCATCAGGTTTCTGAACATAGGCAGATTTTGGATTACACCCGGCGATGCTCAGGGTTTACTCCTGGCTCTGCACTCAGGATTTACTCCTGGAAGTGCTCGAGAGACCATATGGAATGCCAGGATAGCACCCGGTCAGCTGCATGCAAGGCAAATGCCCTACCTGCTGTACTGTTGCTCAGCTGAGCTCGCCCAGGTGACCAGAGATGGAGCAACTTCATGGGGCTTCCTTCTGGGCCCGAGGATGACAGGTGTCCTCACTGTGACAGTCTTCTTGTCTCTCCAGGTATCCCTGCCCACTGTGGCTAGGAATTACATGGACCTGTACTGCCCAGGGGACTTGCTGTCCAGAGGAAAATACATGCTGCCCCTCATGCCTCCCACGTTTTGTTGTGCAGTTTAGGGACATTCTCTGGTCTGATTGGGAAGTGCTGGCCTCTGTCTTGCTCACTGCTGTGCCCTGTTCTCAGAGCAGCACCAGAACGTGGCCAGGCTTGAGGGCCTTTTGTTCACTGAGTGTCCAGAGGCAGAGCCCAAATTTAGCCCCTTGGACGGGGTCCACTTGTGGGCCTTCTCAGTCTCTCTTTTGCTGCCTGCCTCACTGACCCTTGTGGCCGATGTCTGGTCTCTACTCCCCCCTGAAATCTACACTCAACTGGAAAACAGAACATGTGTCAGTGACTCAAAACATGACTGTTGTGACAGATTTTCCCCTGGGTGGTGGGCGGAGGTGTCTGGCTATGACTTTAGATCTGTGCGTATCTGTGTGTGTTGACGTATGTGTGTGCTCATGTGTGCTGGGGGGCAGGATCTTCCTTCTGAGTGGCCCAGTATGAACTCAGTATGAATATCATGATAGGTGGGCAAGTGACGTCTAGGGGAGGGCTTTGATTGGCAGCTGGATGCCCCTCCCCATCCTGCCCCATTCTGGGGGAGCTTCCTGTGACCACTTCCACCCCCTCCCCGGGCCTGTTTGGGTCTGGGCATGGAGTAGGTTCTGGCTTTGGTCCCTCCAGTTCCTGCTGCATCTCTACAAGATTTTATGGTGCAGAGACTTTAGACTGTGTGTGTGGGGGTGGGTGGGTGGAGAGTCGGTAAACTGGTGGGAAAGCTAGGTTGCTGTCAAGGTGACATGCCCTCCCTCCCCACCCCAGGCTGAGACCCCGGAAGGAGCAGGGCACTTACGCACTGTCCCTCATCTATGGAAAGACCGTGTATCACTACCTCATCAGCCAGGACAAGGCAGGCAAATACTGCATCCCTGAGGGCACCAAGTTTGACACACTCTGGCAGGTGCGTTGCCTGCCCTCTCTTTTGGGGAGTAACATTGAGGTGTGGTACTGAGGGGAGGAACTGAGCTGTAGCCCTGACCCTGGCCCCTGCAGCTGGTGGAGTACCTGAAGCTGAAGGCTGATGGGCTCATCTTCTGCCTGCGAGAGCCATGCCCCAATGCCAGCGCTAGTGCCAGCACAGGTAAGTGGTAGTGCCAGGTGGGGGGACACAGACTCCTCACTGCCCACCCCCCTCACTGCCCCTTCTGCTCCTCCAGTGGCTGCAGCTCCCACTCTCCCAGCTCACCCTTCCACCTTCACCCATGTGAGTCATTTGGGATGGAGGGGTCTGGAATTGGGAAGGGCTGTGAGTCCCCTTCCCTGCAGGACTGGGTGGAGGGTGGGGCTGCTACAGAATAGAAGCAAATCCTTCATACCCCCAGCACCATCCCCGGGGACCCAGGGGTGTCAGGGAAGGAGTTAGGTGCCCCCAGCTCACATCCTGCTGACTGACCCTGTGACCTTTGACCTCAGAGGCGGGTTGACACGCTCAACTCAGATGGATACACCCCTGAGCCAGGTGAGCCAGCAGAGGGGCAGATTGGGGGCCTGGTGCCAGGCAGGACATGGGGTCCCAGGCTGGGCTCTGCTTGGATGTGGCAGGGGAGGGGTGTTGTGTGTGTCCACCCATGGTGCAGGTTGACCCGGGGGTCCTCGGGCTGCCGGGCTGCCGTGTTTGTCAGCCCCATGCCTGTGAACCCACTGGCTCTTCCTGGTGTGTCTTATTAAGTAAATTCAGCCGCACTGTTATTGGTGGTAGTGGTGGTAGTGGTACACCAGACAGGGCTTAGGAGTACTCCCAGCTCTTGCTTTTGAGGTCACTCCTAGGGATGCTGGGGGGACCCTGTGATGCAGGGGATCCATCCTGTGACTCCTGTACATGCGCAGCCATTGAGCTTACTCCTCAGCCACAGTCACTGTTTTACTGATGAGAAAGAGTAAACAACTGCTTTTTAAAGGTGCCCCCACCAGCCAGGCTGGTGCTGCAGCTGAGCAGGCAGGTGCCATAGGCCGGTTCCAAAAACGCCTGCAGCAAGCGCACATGTTTGTTGTGTGGGTGCAAATCTTCTCAGTGAGGCACAGAGAACACCCGCACCCTTCCATGCCCATGAGGCTTCCCCCGAGCCCTCCTGAACGGTGCTGTTGCTTGCCTGCACAGACACGCGAGCAAAGCACTAGTCTTTGTATTAGTGTTCATGCACTGCTGTGGCAGGAGTGCTCACGGGAGTGCATCCATGAAATCAGGCCGCTGTCCACATGGGTACACATGCACACAAATACTCATGCCCTTAGCACTGCCTGGCACCATGTCAATGGAAACAGGAGGGCACACATGTGTTCCTGTGCCTGTGGGAGGGGGGCTGCCCTGCCTGTCCCTGTCCCTCTCCCTGATCTGGAGGGATGCTGGTGTGTGTGTGTGTGTGTGTCTGTGTGTGTGTCCAGCACGCCTGGCATCCCCGGAGAGATCGAGGCCCATGCCCATGGACACAAGCGTGTATGAGAGCCCTTACAGCGACCCTGAGGAGCTCAAGAACAAGAAGCTCTTCCTGAAGCGTGATAACCTCATCATGGCTGACATCGAACTTGGCAGCGGCAACTTTGGTTCCGTGCGTCAGGGCGTCTACCGCATGCGCAAGTAGGTGGCGACCATGGGCACTCTGTGGGTGTCAAGGCTGAGGGGAGGGGATTCTCACCAGCCTTGAAGGTTGGAGGTGGGATATCCAGGGAATCGGCCCCTGGGACAGGTCACTGCATGCCGAAGGGTTCCCCAGGATGGAGTGGGGACAGTCTGGGAGCGGGGGAGTTGCAGTGAGGTGAGCCCACTGCCGATCCGAGGGCAGTGCCAGGGGCCTTCCCTGCCACCCTACGTCACCCATCACTGAGTGCTGTGGAGTCTGGAGATGTTTCTTACAAGTGGGGGACAGTTCCAGGGAGGGAGTGTGCTTCCTCAGAGACATTCCTGGCTTCATCAGAGACCCTCAGGAGTGCAGACCCTGAATGCTGAATGGAGATCTGATTGATGAACTGTGGCCGGTACCCCTCAAATATTATTTTTTCTTTTTGGGTCACACCCAGCGAGCGATGCTCAGGGGTTACTCCTGGCTCTGCACTCAGGAATCACTCCTCGGTACTTGGGGGGCCATATGGGATGCTGGGAATTGAACCTGGTTGGCCACGTGCAAGGCAAACACCCTACCCATGGTGCTATCACTCCAGTCCCAACGCCCCAAATCTTAGGGAAACAAGGGGTAGGTCAGGAGGAGGCTGAGCATGGACTCTATCCTCACCCATATGTCTCACCTTGGGTTGTCCACTGGGCAGAAAGCAGATCGACGTGGCCATCAAGGTGTTGAAACATGGCACGGAGAAGGCGAATAAAGATGACATGATGCGTGAAGCACAGATCATGCACCAGCTGGACAATCCTTACATCGTGCGGCTCATTGGCCTATGCCAGGCCGAGGCGCTCATGCTGGTCATGGAGATGGCAAGCAGTGGGCCCCTGCACAAGTTCCTCCTGGGGAAGAAGTGAGTCCCTGCGTGCGGTGGGGGCAGGCGCTGGGACCCCTCTCATGATCTCATCTTTACTCATATCCACCCCTCATTCATACCCCAATACCCACACTCACAGCTGCAACAGTGCAGATAGCAGAACTTCAGGTCTTGAGTCCCAGCTCTGCCACCAACTGGTGTGTCCCCAGACTGGCTTTGTGATCTGTCCTGCTTCTTCCTTCTATCTGCTTCAAAGAGGCCACTGGGAGGATCCAGTGAGTTGCTGTGATGGGTGCTTAGACACCAGCTGGCAAGAGCTTTAGAAGCATTAATTGCCAAATTCACAGACCAGGGAAATTGCCAATAATCTCTGACAATACAAGGGTCCAGTGAACTGCAGTCCAAGGCTTGTTTTCTACCACTGGGTGTTACATTTTTAAAATATTGTAAAAAGGGACAAAAAAAAAACACCCAAAAGAAAAACAAAGACACAGAAAACTTGAGGGATTGTCGGGTGCTGTTTGCTAATCCCCAATCCCTCCGTGTTCCTTTTGACCCCAGCCCTTCTCCACACAGCTGCCTTCTCTTTTCTTCCTGGGGACACACCCCCCTCCACTCAGGTTCTTGGTGGTGCATGGGGCTTCAGAGCGGGTGCCGGGGGTTCTCAGTCCTTTGGCCTTTACTGATGAGAAAGAGTAAACAACTGTAGCTGGGGCAAATACCCTGCCCACTGTATTATCACTCTAGCCCCTATGGTTTTTATTTTTTAAAAATTGTATATGTTGGGTGGGGGTAAAGGGTAGCATACATTCAGCTGTGTTCCTGGCTTATTCCTGGCTCTTCACTCAGGGATCATTCCTGGTGGTGCTTAGGGGACCATATGGAATGATGAGAAAGAAACACAGGTTGACAGAGTTTAAGGCAAGCACCCTACCCACTGTACTATTTCTCTGTCCCCTGATTTGTTAAAAATTTGAGACTGCGATTTACAGTACTAGTAGTGATACAATTTTATGCAAAGCCATTCCGACAACACCTCTCCACCACTCAGTATTCCCTCCCAGCCGCCCCTCCTGTCTTGGAAAGCTCAGTTCTGTTCACCAGTTATTTTCGAGTTAGTGCTTTTGTGTTCTTGTGGGTAGATCCCAAGGAGTGGAATCGCTGAGTCATTTGGGAGCTCTGTTTTAAAGCTGGGAGAAATCTCCATACTGCTCTCCTTAAAACGTGGGTGATATTTAAAGCATCAAGTCTGGTGGGTGCCGTGGTAGGTTTTCCTGACTCACGAGAAGCACATGAGCAGCCTATTGGGTCCCTGGCTTGCCCCCCGCAGGGAGGAGATTCCAGTCAGCAATGTGGCAGAGCTGCTGCACCAAGTGTCCATGGGGATGAAGTACCTGGAGGAGAAGAACTTTGTGCACCGAGACCTAGCAGCACGTAATGTACTTCTAGTGAACCGGCACTACGCCAAGATCAGTGACTTTGGGCTCTCTAAGGCCCTGGGTGCCGATGACAGCTACTACACAGTGAGCACCAGCCACCAGGGGGGGTCAGGGGTGGCAGAGGATCCTGCCCTGCCACCCTTCACTCAACTGCAGCCTCGCCTCCTTCTTCTCAGGCCCGCTCAGCGGGAAAGTGGCCGCTTAAGTGGTATGCACCTGAGTGCATCAACTTCCGCAAGTTCTCCAGTCGTAGTGACGTGTGGAGCTATGGCATCACCATGTGGGAGGCCTTTTCCTATGGCCAGAAGCCCTACAAGGTGGGCGGGAGGCCAGGGGCAGGGTGGAATGAGTTGAGGTGGGATGGGGTGAGGCGAGGTGGGGTCTAGGTGAGGCTAGATGGGATGGGGTTAGGCAAGGTGAGGTGAAGAGGATAGGTGAGGTGGGGTGTGACCAGGTGGGGGTGGGGGTGAGACTAGATGGGATGGAGGTGAGGTGGGATGGAATGAGGTGAGGTGGGATGGGGGTGAAGTGAGGTGAGGCAGGGTTAGGTGAGGAGGGATGGGGTGAGGCAAAGTGGGACCAGGTGAGGTGAGAAGAGGTGAGGTGGGATGGGTGGAGAGCAGGTGGAGGGCCCTGGAGACCCATACACCTTTGCTTCTTGTCTGAGCAGAAGATGAAGGGGCCGGAGGTCATGGCTTTCATTGAGCAGGGCAATAGGATGGAGTGCCCATCAGACTGCCCGCCAGAAGTGTACAAACTCATGAGTGACTGCTGGATCTACAAGTGAGTGGGGTGGGCAGAAGGGGCCCCTGGAGCACTCCTGGGTTGTTTGGCCCTGTCAGCACCACAGAACGCCCTCAGCCCATCAGCACACAGACTGCCCCAGCACCCCCTGGCCAGCCCTTTGTTCTCTTGCTTCTGTACTCAGTGCTCCTGCACTGATCCAGCACACTCCTCCAGTGCAGCACCCCAGAACTTTCCATGCCTGTCCGACCTTCAGCCCCTACCCAGAGGGCAACCACTAATATATTAAAGTCAGCCCTCAAACATCACAATTCCTAACAACATCAGTATCCAAATGGCCTGTAACATCTGGCAACACGCACCCAAAGAGGCTATTCTCCTTCATGGAGCAGAGACACATGAGGCCATTTCTTACCTCAGCTTCCTGGTGGATACGCAGGCAATGCAATACACAGACCCCGGTTTATAAACAATGATTTATCACCCCGAGCTTTCTAACCTGGCTCTAACAGTAAACAGTGCGACAACTCCCGAAGAGGCTCACAGCCAACATCCCACAGTTGGGACCTGGCTGAACCTCCATCTGTGCTCCACTGCGGGGAAATACTTGTACCCACCTGTACGAGCCCCCACCTGGCACACAAATGTTCTGGCTTAACATTCCCGGCAGCGTAGCTCCTGGTGCCCAGTAGTGATGCCCAGCTGCTCTTCATCAGCTGACCCCAATAGACGGTTTCCTCCTCATGGTGAATATCAGCACTCTCCCACAAGGTGCTGCAGTGATCCCCGAGACCTAGCGCTCCCTCTCCCACAGCCTCCTTGGTCTTCTGAACCCCATGCATGCCCACCATTCTTTTGGGGTGTGGCCTTGACGCCCTGCACCTTGCACAGGTGGGAGGAGCGCCCAGACTTTGTGGCGGTGGAGCAGCGCATGCGCACCCACTACTACAGCCTGGCGAGCAAGGTGGAGAACCCTGATGGAGACCGAAAGGGAGCCGGGGTGACAGCCACCTGACTTCTGGCCTGTCTATATCCTGCCCTTGTGAGCTTCCTGCTGTGCCAGGGCCTCCAGGTTGGTGCGCCAGCTTGGTCCCTGTAGCCTCAGACCACACCCGCCTGGCTCTCCTGTGCATCTGCCTCCTTTGAGCTGAGGGCAGAAGCCGCCTGGGCAGGGACTGGGCTGGGGCTGCGTTGAGGGGCATTGCTTTTCAGAAGACCCCTCTGCCGCTGCGTCCTGGAAGGGAGGATTCTCAGGACCCTTGGCAGCAAGTCCCAAATCACAGGAATAAACTCGGCTTCTCTCAGTTTGAAACGCCTCGTTTTTTTTCTGGGCTCAGAGTCAGGGTGGGTTCAGTAGAGCGGGATGGGGTTGGTAGAAGTGGGGGATGGGTCATTGGAACGGATTGGAATGGGTTGGGAGAAGTGCCAGAAGGCACCTTCTCTTGGGTGGGTCTGACCTCACACCCCCAAATCTGGGAGCCTACCTTTTCCACTTCTCTACCCGGGGAACTTCCTCACACAGGTGAGAAGCTATGGAAGAGTGAGGAAACAGAGGCAGGTGAATTGCATGGAGTCTGGTGGCTCTCCCCTCTGGGACCATGTCCTCAGCATCAGCCTCTTTTCCAGAGGCAAATTTTCTATCATTTTGGTTTTGGACCACACCAGCAGTGCTCAGAGGTCATATTTGGGGGTCATCCCTGTGATCTTCTGTGGACCATGCAGAATTGACCAGTTGCCACTGGTCTTGTGGGCTTCATTGCTTGCGGTCACGGCTTTTGGCTGCCACCCTGATGGAGATGGTGAACATGATGTCATCCCAGCGCAAGTGCGTGGGCTCCCCAGGATGCTCAGGCTGGACATTGACCCGTGATGCTGAGGTCCACACGAGGCCACGTGTACCTCCAAAAGGCAAACAGGGACAGGCCTGAGCTTGCTGCATCCCAGGAAGTTCCTTCTAGATATGCACTGGGAAGGTCCCCAGATCTGGAGGCCTGGGAGTCCACATGAAGGGTAGAAGGTGGTGGTCGGGGTGGTTTGGGAGGGTATGGTGACGGTTAGAGACCTCTCTGACGGGAATTTCTGAGGCCACATGAGTCAGGGTGTGTGGGGAGCAGTTGGGGCTCTTGCGTGTGACCAGTCTGCCAGCTGGAGGAGCGCTGCAGTGAGCAGGGGTGGAGAAATCAGGAACACAGCATGGGCCGGCGTGAGGTCAGGGTCAGGTGTGGGAGAGACCTCTCAAACCCAAGGGACTGCAGAGTTCTGGGCGCCCTATGGCTGCAGACAAGGTGGACAGGAGCTGCGGGAGTGGGCGGGGCTACTCAGTGGGCGTGGTGATCGGTGGGTGGGGCTGACTCCGTGGGTGGGGCTGACTCGATGGGTGGGGCAGGTCATGCAACTGCTACTGGTCCAACTGCCGCTGGACCAACTGCTATTGGACCTGCTGGCGCAGCGCCCTGATCTTGTCTCATATTATTGGGCTGGTTGGTGCTGGAGAGGAGCACACACCCCTCTGTGGACAGGCTGGAGGGAGGGAAGCGACTGGCCCTCCTGGGTGCCCTGGAGCCACGAGGTGGGACAGGTGATGTTTGTGTATGCAGGCGGGGCAGGTGTATGCATGGGGGGAGGGTCGAGGGCTCTTGGCTACACAGGGCCTCTCCTGTCAGCTGGGGATGGCGCCGGAGACTGCGGAGCCTCACGATTCACTCTCCCCAGGTCTAGAAGGAGGTGTGGTATGTGTGTGCTCCTGTCGCACATCACCCTCACCTGGGACAGCCTGGAGAAGGTCAACATCCTGCAGCCATCGTGTGCGTTGTCAGTGGCTCTGACCACCTGACATCAAGTTCGCAGTGACTTAGGTAGGAGCAGGGGCCGTCCTGGAGTGTTGACAGCCGGGAGCTCTGGGAAGGGCGGCCCTCAGCCTAGGCCCAGCTCCCCGAGCAGCTGGCAGGACAAGGGGCGGGGCTGTGCTGAGACACTTGGGAGGCCTCTTGGACCGACCTTGAGACTAGTGAGGGGGTACTTGCGTTGCTCATGGTCACTGTGGGGTCCTCGGTGGAGGCGGGGGTGGTGGTGGTGGTGTTACATGAGGGTGGGTGAGGTCATAGAACCAGACCAGATAGTTAGATCAGGTCAGGTCACACTGGGTGAGGGTAGGTCAGGGTGGGGCAAGGTTACAGGTTCTGAAAAGGTCATGGGGTGGGGGACGAGGTCATGGGGTCAGAGGAGGTCACATGGGGCCAGGGGAAGTGGCAGCACAGGTTCTGCTTTGGCCTCAAAAGCAACCCCAGATTCCCTGGCACAGTACCTGCGCTGGGCAGACCCCAAGAGTGTGCTCCACTGTCCTGGGTCCTGTGTGTCCCCTTGCAGCCCCTTCTTGTCTGACCCCCAGGCAGCATCCGCAGGACGGCTCTGGCAGTGCTGGACTAGGCTCATGCTGGGCCTGCCCCTCCCCCAGGTGTTCTGAAAACCACAGAGTAACAGTAAACATTAGTAAGCCTAATAGTAAACCATCTAACACACTTTTACTCATCACACATGTTTAGAACCAATAGTTCAGTTGGTTGCTAAGATAATGGATAGGGAAGGGAATGGTTGTGACTGTCACCTAGCAAATGGCCTCTGTCTTATCAGGGTCATCTCAAAGTGGAATTGTCACCATAAACCTTTAGATTAGTCTGCGGGTAACGCTGATCAGTTTGGGTGCCTTTAGCTCCAGGTAACAAGGTTTCTAGGCCGAAGTGTTCTTCCAGACACTTTGTTTTCTCAACAAGTTGTTCAGAGGCTCTTAATCTCTGGATTCAGCCAGCAGGGGGAGGTCTTCGGGCAGCAACTCTGCACTTCTTTATCTCTTTTCTCAGATCTCATCTCAACCTGCCCCGGCAAGAAGAAGGGGAGCAAATGACTCATTTCCTCCAGCCATGCCCCATTCCCTGGGACGGCAGACTGAGCCTGTGGAGTCAGGAGACCAGAACTTTCATTTTCATTTACTCACATCACAATTATTTAGTAGACAAATGACTGCTGGGACGTATCAACAAGTGTCTGCAATTGTGGACAGACCTTATGGATAAAGAACAGGTCCTGGGGCCAGCAGGAAGCCTAGATCTTTCTAGTGGCCCCCAGGGTGGGGAAGGAGCCGGGGAGGAGGTGCTCTCTGGGATGGCATCTTCCACACTTTGCTAAAGGACCCTTCTCCATGCCCCAGCTCCCCTCTCCTCCCCCAACACACACAACCTGCCCGCCCTGCACTCCCCTGTCCCTGAGACCCGGCCATCACATGGGCCTGCAGCAAAGAGTAGATGCAAAGTCAAAATATAGAGATGCATCATGGAAACGGGGGAGGGGTGGAGTTCTGCTTGAACCACTTCTTTGGACCAAGCAGGGATTTGGGGTGGGGGAGGGTGGGGAGGTGGTCTGGTGGTAGGATAACGATTTAAAAAAAAAATTTTTTTTTGTGGGGGAGGATCACACTCAGCAATGCTCAGGAGTTACTCTTGGCACTGCATACAGGATGCTAGGGATCAAATCTGGGGCGGCTCCATGAAAGGCAAGCAGTTTACCTGCTGTACAAATGCTCCAGCTGCAAGGCTAATGCTTTTTTTTTTTTTAAGAGTTGCACAAACCCAAGTCTTCCATTGAGAGAGAGGTGGCTCTTTTGATGAGTTCTTGTGATGTGTAGCTTCACAGCAGCCTCTGACTCTGGGATCTTGTGCCCAAGCCCTGGGGCCCAGGTCTCTCTAGACCCCCCGTCTTGGTGCCCCTCTGCCCAGTGAGTCTCCCCTGAGTGGCCTTGGGATTCCTGGTCAAGTCTGTGGCCCTCAGTACCCCCTTCCTGCACACGGCAAGGCCATGCTAGTTCAGGGAGTGCTGACCTGTGTCCTCGCAGCCCTGTCGTTTCATGGTATTGTCACGCTGTGAGCTGCAGCCCTGACAGAGACTGATTCCCTTGACTCTGGGTCCTACAGACCCTGACTGCCTCCTGCTGCACTGCTGGTTCCCTCTCCACTCAGCAAGGCCCAGCTCCGAGCCTGCTCCCCTGATTGATGCTCCTCAACCCATTGGCAGCCAGGAGTAATGGATAACCCAGTCACTGGGCTGAACTCTGCTACCCGCCGTGAGAGCTGAGGTCGCAGAGCTGTCCCTCTGACAGCCCCAGAGACTCTCCTGCAGGACCCTCCATGCAGCAGGCATCCAGCCCGGCTTTTCCGGCACAGTTTCTAGAGCTCTATGAAGTCAGATGATTGCCAAGTTCTGTATGGAATGATATGGCGAGAAGGAAGGAGAAAAAGAGCCCTGGCCTGCCTGTGGCCCTCAGGTGAGCTGGCTGCAGCAGAAGTACCGGATCTCCATCGTCATGTGTGCCGCTACCTCCCTGGACCCCAAGCCCCAGGCCCAGCCGGCCCAGGCAGTGCTGAGCAGCTGGACTCTGGACATCTGCCCCAACCTCCTGACTCCCTGGAGAGGCCAGACCTGGCCTTGCTGTCCCAGTACTGGGAGAGCTGCTCTGTCCTCAAATGATTTCTGGGGGCAGCTTGTTCATCCAGAGCCCACACCTGGGGAAAACTCAACTGGCAGTGAGAAAGCTGGAACTCACAGGCCCAGCTAGGTCCAGGCCTCCAGAAAAGGGGCTCATCCCTGCCTTTGGAGTCAGAGGTGGGGTCCTGGGTAAAGTTGGGTCTCCCACACATCTGTGGGTGGGACTGGAGTCACCCACTGCTCTGCGGATTCCCCGCTGGGTCCCCTAGTTAACACTGCAGACCACTGGCCTGAAGAATTTGGGGCCTGAGCCTATATCAGTCCAGTGTCCTTGGGCACATTACTTGGGGAATTATCTTCTTTGGGGCAGCTGTCTTGTCAGGATGGGTCAAAAGATGCTGCTCTGGAACCAGAGCAACTTTACAGCAGGTAGGGTGTTTGCCTTGCATGCACCTGGCCTGGAATCAATCCCTGGTACCCCATAAGTTCCCCAAGGCCTTCCAGAAGTAATCCCCAAACACAGAGCTAGGAGTAATCCCT